TACTACACCCACAACAGTAAAATCGGTCTGTATATGCAGTAAAGCATGCTTGTTATACTCACTGTGGAACCTAAGGGGTTAATTCTCTGCATTGTGTAAAAAGGCCATTTGATCCTTTCTTCTCTGCTCCTCCTCTTGTTCAAATGTCCACGTCTTATCTCTTGAAAAGACAGACTGAACCCATAGCCCTTCTGCACATGCTCAGTTTAATGTGTATTGGTAGTGAGGTTTTTTTTTTTTTTTGGGAGAGTGCATGTGATCAGCACAGGGCCAATCAGCACTGTCCAGATAGAAGTCAGGGGTTTTGCATTCTCCTAGAGCAAAAAGAAAACTCCTCCTATAAGCTTTAACCAGTGCTCTGCTAAACACTGATAGAAGTCACAAGACCTCTCTAACTGCTGATGAGAAAAGGTATTTCGCAGTTTATATTTACTAAAATAATTGCACTTCCATGTTCTGTGTACTGTGGGAGACTAGATATAGTGGATGCAGGGTCCTGGGTTTAGTAATACTTTAATGCAATATTTATGTTTTTTCTGAAATGTTATATTTAAAGTACACCTGTCATGATTTCTGAGATAGTAAACTGCAGAGAAGTCTAAAGCAGGCACTAGAGATGCTGCTGGATACCTTAGATGTATGACAGAACATACCAAAATCTAGTGTTGGGCTAGATGTTCGAATCAAACATCGACCGTTTGCTCAGCGAACACACGAATGGTAAGGGCGTTCATTCGGTGCCCAATAATGTACTGAGCCTAAACAGTGCTTTGTGATTGGCCAAAGCAATGCACCTGATCGCAGGTAAGGTGCAATACTTGGGCCAATCAGAGCACACGATGATGTCACAAGGGGGCATCACAAGGGGAACTGTCATCCCGCTGCAGCTGTCAGACTGTGGGAGCCAGCATAGAGAGTGGAGCTTTTTTTTTTTCTTCTTTCGGGTCGGCAGTGATGGTGGGCATTGTGATTGATGTTGGAGCTACTTCGGGGGACATTTTTTTATTTTTGTTTTTAATAAAGGACTTGTCAAAGACTGTGCACTGTAATTTTTTACACTACACTTTTTTTTTGTGAATGAGTAGCGGTACCATGCACCCCATATTGATTCAGATGGGGGGCCGGGATCTGGGAATCTTCCAGATTCTGACAAGCCCCCCACAACCACCGGCCACAGTTGTAGGGAAGAGGGCCTTGTCCCCAAAGCACCCTCCATGTTGAGGGCATGTGGCCTGGTGTGGTTCAAGAGGGGGGGGCAGCTCGATCGCCCCCCGTTTTCTGACGTGCCAGGCTGCATGCTCGGATAAGTGTTTAGTATGGATTTTGGGGGGACCCCCACGCCATTTAAAAAAAAAAATTGGCATGGGGGTTCCCCTCAAAATCCATACCAATCCCAAAGGGCTTGGTATGAAGGGAATGGGGGGACCCCACACATTTTTTTTTCTTTTAATTGCCAGGCAATGCTTTTTTACATTCAGCTGTCAGCGTGGAATCCCACTGACAGCTGAAACATTAAATAATGTTTTTAGTAGCTGTGCGGTACCTTACCGCATACTCAGATGTGGTAAGATATCACTTAATGAATTGTGCCCTTTGTTCAAATTTCACGGTCAAACTTTTGTTAGGTTCGAAAGCTTGACCACGAACTGAACAGGGGGTGTTCTGCCCATCACTACCAAAATCCCAAAAGTATGGCACCCTCACCTATGTAAACAGGATTCAGCTGAAATCAGAGTTAAAGGAATTGGTAGTACTTATTAACCACTTTATGACCACCCGCATGTATTGTACTACAGATGGGGGGGCCGCTGTAGGTAAAGCAACGTACGTGTGCAATGCTTTTTACTTCCGGTTTTTTTGTATGCGCCTACCCTGCCGGCACCCTTTGTAATTGTACACAGCAGGTGTCCGTCAGCAAGTCTCACCCAATGATACATGGTTGGGACCTGCTGATTGGCTGTGTACGATCACAGCCCCGAGCTCTGTGTTGACATACAACACAGAGCTCTGTACACAGGGAACAACCTATCAGGTTTTCTTCCCTGCAAAGCAGGGATGAGAAACTGACAGATATCTTAGTAAAAGCAGCACACTTTACACACATTACACATTGTTAGGCACACATATATATATAGATATAACCTCTGATCGCCCTAAATGTTAACCCCTTTCCAGCCCCTACACTATAGTGTTTTGGAATCACTCCACCACTTCTCCCGGACTGCCCAAGCTATCTCATTCTGATGTGTTGGTCACACACACTTCTGCGTGTTATCTCTCCACATACATGGCCAGCTTTTATATTGAGAAAAAATTAGACTACAGGCTGCCATTCACAGCACACATTTCTAGCCATAGGTACCTCTGTCAGCACCATTTGGTTTGGCAAAAATTGATTGTTCAATCAACTTTTGTCAAAGGAGCCAGATGAAAACATTGTTGGCCAAGCAGCCAATATTTTTGTAGTCTGACATGTGTGGGCATAGGTTGTCAGGACTACAATAGCTTGCAGAGAAAATTTGTCCATCTGTACAGTTCAGTATGGATGGAGAAATCTAATTTCTTTTGTTTAGCCTGCAGGCTGAAAATCTATGTGTAAAAGGCCAGATTTAATCTTAGGATGGGGAAAAGGGTATCAGGTAGATAATGTGAAGCTAGTATAGATCCAGTTATGGGCACCACAATATAAATGAGATTTGGAGACTGGAGTTTTGGAAATTGTTAAAAGCTGGCCAACTAAAGACAAAAGTCCATCCAGTTCAACCATAAGAAAAAAAAAGTTTTAATCCTATACCCATAGTAAATAAATGGATAAAGGGGGTTTCCAGATTTGGATAAGTCCATCTTGCAAACCAGCACATTCCCTTTGAGGACAGGGTATAGATATGAGGATCTTGTATCCTTGTTCCTAGCATAGGGACAAGGTTCCTTACAGGGGTGAGGGGTAGGCTTGGCTGCAATCTCACTGCCCTTCCTTATCTGGTCACCCAGGCTTCATCAGAGTGGTACCTGTCAATACACTGTGACCCGGCGATACACTGGAAGGTGACAGGCTGTAGAGACAAAACTGCACTTCTCTAAATATTGGGACACAGTGTACTGACAGGTACCACTCTGATCCACTCACTCTCTTGCACAGAGTCTTTGTAATGTGACAGTTCAAATCCAATTATGTGCTTATAAGTGACTGAATATAAAACGCGCTCCGGATAACTCCAAAAAGACAGTGCTCCACCGCAACAAAAAGTGCACCTCCACCTATGGATAAGGATGGCCGCTCACCTCATGAAATGGACCTATATGATATTATAGGTCAGGGGTGTCAAACTGGCGGCCCTCCAGCTGTTGTGAAACTACAAGTCCCATCATGGCTCTACCTTTGGAAGACATGCTTGTAACTGTCAATCTTGCAATGCCTCATGGGACCTGTAGTTTGGCAACAGCTAGACGGCCTCTGGTTTGACACCTGTGTTATAGGTCAACCAAGCATAGTAATTCAACGGAAAGGCTCTAGATAGCAGCAAAGAGTTGATTGAAGCAACACCATAGATGACCATATACGCTCATATGACAAGGATCTCTTCAGAACTCCATATCGACATATAAGGAAAAAAAACAGCTTCCCATTGCATAATATTTGTTTAAAAGAAAAAAACACACAGAGTATCACTCACATCTTAAAAGATGGCAAAGATCAGTAAACAGCATACAACTTCCGGTCCGCGAGTCCGTAACCGGAACTGACATCACTAAGCTTACGCCACCAACCACATTTAAAAATAAAACGTTATTCATTTGAAAGGTAAATCAGCCATAATGTGTTAGTATGTGGTGCATTCTAGCAAATTATGGCATAAACCTGCAGGGGGCCCAAATATTTTTTTTTGTTAGAATTTACTACCATTTTTACGATAAAAGCACATTTCCTTGAAGTGGTTCTTTTTACAGCATTGCTGACCACTAGACAGTGCTGATTAATTTTTTTTCGTATGGTGCTTATCTTTCCAACCAGTAGGCAGGGTAGTTCCTGGGGTAAAAGGATACTTCTGTTTGTTTAATTAAACCTAAAATAACAATTTATTGCTTTTCCATTTAGACATTCTTTTACCATTGAAAAATAGAAGCATTAGGAAGAATTACACAAATGTAAAAAGTGGACACATAAAAGCAAACTGCCAATATGGATTCCTTAAGTGGAACATCTGCTGGCATGAGAAGCTCGCATATGATCCTTTTTCAGAGTAATGCTTACAACAATGTTTCTGCTTGCCTTATGCAACTTCCAGCTTTAGGAACAGTGGCAAGATTTGGTGAAAAGTTATGTTTAGGGAACCAACATATTATCCTAATTATCCTGTCCTTTAGTTTGTATCATTATTAGGAACCTGTCAGAATAACCATGTTCTCAGATCATAAATGGAAAATGATGGTTACTGTCTTTTCCTGTTCGCCAGCACTACAAAAAAGAATCATGTAGCTTTCACAAGAATAGTTATCAGATGTCAGACACAGAAGCTGTCAGACCAAGTTAGGGTCAGAAAGATTAAAAAAAAGCACATGGATAACTCATTGACTGGGGAAAGGATTATTGGTGGAATCTGCTAGAAAATAAAGCTGGCCATACTCTATGCAAGTTTTGGAGGGTTCCCGATGAACCAGCCAAAATCCACTAGGTGGGTGGTCCTGATGCCCCCTCCCAATCAAAGGACCTGGATGGAAAGTTTTGGAATGAACGACAGATGCATTCAATAGGCAAAGTTGGAGATACCTTCTCTAGTATAGTGTGGATGAATGAATCTCTTCCACTTTAAAGGGTAAAGCCACTTTAAAGGGTAAGTTGACCTTTTTACATAGTTACATAGTTACTAGAGATGAGCGAATTATTCAAAAATTCGATTCGACTGATTCGGCGAATTCGTGAAAAAAATTTCAATTCGAGTCGAATATATTCGCTGCGAATTTAACTTATAAAAGGGTGTTTCTAGGCTTCAGAGAGCCTTTATATTATTGCAGAACTGTACCTTTAATTTAAATGCCCTTGGAGTCTGCTGGGGAAGAGAAATAATACTGACAGTCAGTATGACATGCAGATGAGTGCCGTCGATCTTAGAATCACCGCACACTTCACTCATTTGGGCAGTCACGGGGCCAAAACCAGAGTGTGGAGCCACAGTGTGGCGGTGGAGGCAGCAGCAATGGGAGGCCATACAGCACCCTATGACAAAAATGGAAACCACCAGCAGTGTGAGGAGACCTGAAAGTGGCACATGGCAGAGTGTGGCGATGGAGACAGCAGCAATGGGAGGCCGTACAGGGACCCATGACACACTGTGGACCTGGCAGCAGCATGAGGAGGCGGTACAGGGGCCCATGACAGATTACGGGCCTGGCAGCAGCATGAGGAGTTGGTATGGGGGCCCATGGCAGATTACGGGCCTGGCAGCAGCAATGGGAGGCCGTACAGGGACCCATGACACACTCTGGACCTGGCAGCAGCATGAGGAGGCGGTACAGGGGCCCATGACAGATTACGGGCCTGGCAGCAGCATGAGGAGTCGGTACGGGGGCCCATGACACACTCTGGACCTGGCAGCAGCATGAGGAGGCGGTACAGGGGCGCATGACAGATTACGAGCCTGGCAGCAGCAACTTGGACAGGAGGACGTTCAGCTTCTGCACCGTCGGGTGCGTGCTCGCAAACTGTTGTCTCTTGGAAACGGATTCCAAGAAAGACTGCTGACGGAATCCGTGAAGAGGAGTAGCAGGAGAAGGAGCATCTGAACGAGCAGAATATGCCAACAAGCGACAACAGGGGCCCATGACAGATTACAGGCCTGGCAGCAGCATGAGGAGTCGGTACGGGGGCCCATGGCAGATTACGGGCCTGGCAGCAGCAATGGGAGGCCCGCAATCTGCCAGCACCCTATGACAAAAAATGGAACACACCAGCAGTGTGTGAGGAGACCTGAAAGTGGCACATGGCAGAGTGTGGCGATGGAGACAGCAGCAATGGGAGGCCGTACAGGGACCCATGAGAGACTCTGGACCTGGCAGCAGCATGAGGAGGCGGTACAGGGGCCCATGGCAGATTAGGGGCCTGGCAGCAGCTATGGGAGGCCCGTAATCTGCCAGCACCCTATGACAAAAAATGGAACACACCAGCAGTGTGAGGAGACCTGAAAGTGGCACATGGCAGAGTGTGGCGATGGAGACAGCAGCAATGGGAGGCCGTACAGGGACCCATGAGAGACTGTGGACCTGGCAGCAGCATGAGGAGGCGGTACGGGGGCCCATGGCAGATTAGGGGCCTGGCAGCAGCAATGGGAGGCCCGTAATCTGCCAGCACCCTATGACAAAAAATGGAACACACCAGCAGTGTGAGGAGACCTGAAAGTGGCACATGGCAGAGTGTGGCGATGGAGACAGCAGCAATGGGAGGCCGTACAGGGACCCATGAGAGACTGTGGACCTGGCAGCAGCATGAGGAGGCGGTACTGGGGCCCATGGCAGATTACGGGCCTGGCAGCAGCAATGGGAGGCCCGTAATCTGCCAGCACCCTATGACAAAAAATGTAACACACCAGCAGTGTGAGGAGACCTGAAAGTGGCACATGGCAGAGTGTGGCGATGGAGACAGCAGCAATGGGAGGCGGTTCAGGGACCCATGAGACACTGTGGACCTGGCAGCAGCATGAGGAGGTGGTACAGGGGCCCATGGCAGATTAAGGCCTGGCAGCAGCAATGGGAGGCCCGTAATCTGCCAGCACCCTATGACAAAATGGAACCCTGGGCTGGGGCAGGCAGAACCGCCGTATCTTTATCACGGTTTTTCCCAGGCCACCGAATGGCGACGCTGCATATGCTGACGCAACGCTGTAGTCCCAACATGGGCCCCCTGGCCACTCTTGACTTTCTGGCCACATAGTCGACATACGGCTACGTTTACTTCCTCGGGCGGCTTGACGAAAAATTGCCACACCGCCGAGTAGGAAACTTTGCCCCCGCTACTCCTCACTGGCTGACTGCTACTTCCTCCGTGCACACCGGCACCACTACTGGCCGTGGTGGTAGGCTGCAGTGGAGCTGGTGCTCTACTCCGTGGCCGTTTGCCTCCACTGACACTGCTGCGACCCTGCTGCCTCCTGGCAGCAGCAATGGGAGGCCGTACAGGGACCCATGACACACTCTGGACCTGGCAGCAGCATGAAGAGGCGGTACAGGGGCCCATGGCAGATTACGGGCCTGGCAGCAGCAATGGGAGGCCCGTAATCTGCCAGCACCCTATGACAAAAAATGGAACACACCAGTAGTGTGTGAGGAGACCTGAAAGTGGCACATGGCATGAGACACTGTGGACCTGGCAGCAGCATGAGGAGGCGGTACAGGGGCCCATGGCAGATTAGGGGCCTGGCAGCAGCTATGGGAGGCCCGTAATCTGCCAGCACCCTATGACAAAAAATGGAACACACCAGCAGTGTGTGAGGAGACCTGAAAGTGGCACATGGCAGAGTGTGGCGATGGAGACAGCAGCAATGGGAGGCCGTACAGGGACCCATGACACACTCTGGACCTGGCAGCAGCATGAGGAGGCGGTACAGGGGCCCATGGCAGATTACGGGCCTGGCAGCAGCAATGGGAGGCCCGTAATCTGCCAGCACCCTATGACAAAAAATGGAACACACCAGCAGTGTGAGGAGACCTGAAAGTGGCACATGTTTGGGGCATGATTCATGGCGGATTTAGTCAGTTGTGTCAGGAACTGGTGGTTTGAAATCCAGACTAATCCACGCCTGATTCATTTTCACAGACATGAGTCTCTCCACACTTTGGGTGGACAGTCGTGTCCTCCGCGGAGTTACAATACCTCCTGCCGCACTAAACACGCGCTCCGATGCCACGCTACTGGCCGGGCATGACAGCCTTTCAAGGGCAAATTCAGCTAGTTGGGGCCAAAGGTCAAGTTTCGTTGCCCAGTAGTCAAGGGGATTGTCTACCTCGGTTGGCAGGGTGCTGTCCAAGTAGGCCCAAGCCTGTTGTTTGAGGTCCTGCTCCAGGTCCACCTGATGCTGCTGCTGCTGCGGCTGGTTAGTAGTTTCCTCACTGCGCTGGTGAAGAAAGCTACTCATCATCGACTGCAGACTGAGGCAGCCGCTGCTGGTGGAGCTGCCACTGCTCCTACCACCCCACCCCTCCCCTGCTGCCATGGCAGCGGAACACGAGCGCACAGAGCCCACAGTGTCTGAGGATGGACGTTGGCGCAGAAAGGCAGAGACCAGCTGACTACATAGGTGGTTTTTATAGTACGTTATTTTGGCCTCCCTCTCAGCAGGTGTGAAAAAGGCCACCATTTTTGAACGGTAGCGAGGGTCCAACAAGGTGGACAGCCAAAAGTCATCCCTCTGTCTGATGGTTATTATTCGGCTGTCGCTACGCAAGCAAGCGAGCATGCTATGGGCCATTTGTGCCAAGGAATGCGAGGGACTCCCTGCCTCCATCTCCACAGCATACTGCCACGGTGCGTCTGGGTCCTCTGTCTCCTCCTCCTCCTCCTCTACCAGATGCTCCTGCTCCTCCACTCCTGTCCGCTGAGTGGAAAAACCACCCATTTCACTCAATAATTCCTCAGCACAAATGTCCTCCTCTACCTCCTCCTCTTCTTCCTGTCCTGCCCCCACAGGGGTCATGTGGCGTTGAGATCTGTGCGCCACGTCTACCGCACCCTGACCAGCCATTGTTAACATTATTTGTTCCAGGACGTGCAACAGAGAATGACGTCGTTCATCCCATAGTCCTGCCGACTCACGAATAGCGTGGCCTCCTCAAAGGGCCTGAGCAAGCAGCAGGTGTCACGCATGAGCTGCCAATGGCTGACATGAAGTTACACAGGGGAGTACCTTTATCCGCTTGTAACATCAGGAAATCGGTGATGGCCTTTTCGCTGTTCGTAAAGGCAGTCTAACATATGTAGGGTTGAATTCCACCTTGTTGCAACGTCGCAGATCAGGCGATGCTGTGGAATTCCGTTCTGCCGCTGCAGCTCAAGGAGGGTGTGCTTTGCGGTGTAGGAATGGCTGAAATGCATGCAAAGTTTACGTGACATTTTAAGGATGTCTTGCAGTGGGATGGTGGATTTTAGGAACCGCTTGACAACCAGATTGAACACGTGAGCCATGCATGGCGCATGGCACAACCTTCCTTGACGCAGAGCAGACACCATGTTCTTTCCGTTGTCAGTCAACATGGTTCCGATTTTAAGTTTGCGCAGAGACAGCCATCTGTCGATTTCTCTGTTCATTACACTGAGAAGTTCCTCCCCTGTGTGACTACGTTCGCCAAGGCATACCAGGTGCAGCACAGCGTGACACCGTTGCGCCCTGCACATGTGATATGCCCGGTCGGGTAATGGGACTTGGCACGGGGGTGGCGGCTGAGGACACGGCGGAAGAAGAGGTGGTAGAGGCGGACATCTTTGCCGGACCAAGGACGTGCAAACGTGGAGGCAAAAGCGGCGTGACCTGTCCAAGTTGCTGGTGCGGCTGTGATGGCACCACGTTCACCCAGTGGGCCGTAAATGACATGTACTGTCCCTGACCGTAGTTACAGCTCCATACGTCGGCGCTGCCGTGCACTTTGGCAGAGACCGACATGCTCAAAGACTGGCCCACCATCTCTTCTACATGTGAATGCAGGGCTGGCACTGCCTTTTTTACGAAGAAATGACGGCTTGGCACTCTCCACCGCGGCGCGGCACAAGCCATCATTTCTCGGAAAGGTGCTGAGTCCACCACTTGGAAAGGGAGGGACTGCAGCACCAGCAACTTGGACAGGAGGACGTTCAGCTTTTGCACCGTCGGGTGCGTGCTCGCAAACTGTTGTCTCAAGAAAGACTGCTGACAGAATCCGTGAAGAGGAGTAGCAGGAGAAGGAGCATCAGAACGAGCGGAAGATGCCAACGAGCGACAACTCCCCTCAGCAGAGGTGTTGGAGCCTTGACTGGCTGATAGAGGGCGATTGACGTCGGGTGACGGAGCAAGTAACGGAGCGGGTGATGGAGCGGGGGCTGGGGCGGGCAGAACCGCCGTATCTTTATCATGGTTTTCCCAGGCCACCAAATGGCGACGCTGCATATGCTGCCGCAACGCTGTAGTCCCAACATGGGCCCCCTGGCCACGCTTGACTTTCTGGCCACATAGTCGACATACGGCTACGTTTACTTCCTCGGGCGGCTTGACAAAAAATTGCCGCACCGCCGAGTAGGAAACTTTGCCCCCGATACTCCTCTCTGGCTGACTGCTGCTTCCTCCGTGCACACTGGCACCACTACTGGCCGTGGTGGTAGGCTGCAGTGGAGCTGGTGCTCTACTCCATGGCCGTTTGCCTCCACTGACACTGCTGCGACCCTGCTGTCTCCTGGGCAACCCACCGACTGTTTTGCTCGCTGCCAAGCTGCCACCCTCTTCTCCTGATGATGCGGAAGCAATAGCCTGATGACGACGAGGCTGCCAAGTGCGATCAGCCTCAT